ACGTGATCGTGGAGGTGGATGGCCACAGTTAGAGGAAGCATTGTTGATTTGGGTGAATCTTGCCAATGAAGCTAACTATACAATAACTGGTGCGATCTTGAGTCAAAAGGCAGTGCAATTTGCTCAAAGACTTAATATTTCTGATTTCAAATCATCACAAGTAAGCATCAATTTCTTTTTTTTTTTATTATTTTAAATTGTGGTGTTAATTTTATCAGATCTATTAAATATCCATCATTGATTTTTAAATAGGGATGGATTTCAAATTTTAAAAAAAGAAATAATATTAAAGAACATTATAAATCAGGAGAAGCAGCAAGTGCACCAATTAGTGAATTACCTGCATTTAGAACTGAACTACAATCTATAATTGCACAGTATGAATTGGAGGATGTATATAATGCAGACGAAACTGGTCTTTATTGGAAATTAGAACCCCATAAATCTCTTGCTAGTGGACCTCTCACTGGATTAAAGAAATCAAAGGATAGGATTACTGTGATGCTTGCATGTAATATAATCGGAACTCATAAATTACCTCCAGTATTTATATATAAATTTAAAAATCCACGCTGTATTCATAATATTGATAAAAAATCACTTCCTGTATGGTACTATTGGAATAATTCATCATGGATGCAACGTTCTATTTTCCAAATGTGGATTAGACAATTTAATCAAGAAATGAAAAAAAGGAGAAGAAATGTTTTATTATTAGTAGATAATGTTTCATCACATCAATTGGAAGAAGGTGAAGAGTTGAGCAATACTAAATTACATTTTCTTCCACCAAACACAACTTCTCATCTTCAGCCAATTGATCAGGGCATAATACGATCATTTAAAGTAATTATAATATTCATCTTTTTTTTTATAAATTTTATTTTTAATATTAATAAAATTTGCCTTATCTTTGTATTAGGCTCATTATAGAAAATTACTATGCCAAGATAGGATTCAAGCATTTGATGAGCACCAAGAATTTGGTGTTGAGATTCCAAAATTAAATATTTTGAATGCAATTAATTGGACTGCACAATCTTGGGATAATGTAACTGATGATACAATCTACCGTTGTTGGCAAAGAACAGGTATTCTACCTAATGAGGAAATGGAAATATTTGAAGAACCAGATGAATTAGAATATGAAGAAAATGATGTTCAAACACTTATTAATCAAATGAATGTTGAGGATATCACAGCAAGCAACTATATTAATATCGACTCTAGAATAGAAATTGCCGAAATGATTGATGATGATGAGATAATTTCTGCAGTACAAGAAACACCAGAAGAAGAAGAAGAAGAAACCATGAATACACCAATATCATATCCAATTGCTTTAGATAGCATTCAAAATCTATTTGACTATTTGCAACAAAATTCTGATATAAAAGTAAATAATTCAGTAATATCGGGATTGAAAGACCTACAACATCAAATTAGAAGAAAACAAAATGCATCTCTAAAACAACCTACCTTAGAAAGTTTTTTTTATAATAAATAATTTTATACGTTATTTTAATTTATTTGTTTTAAATATTTTAATTATTAAATAAAAAATCTGATTGGATATTTTATGTAGATCAGTTTTGATATAAAATTCGATAAGTCGGTTCTCTCGATAAGTCGGTCATATGAGCTCACCCCAGCGTGACCGACTTATCGAGTTTACATGTGTACCCTTCACGATCATTTTGTGAAACTACAAATCCCTTTTTATAGATAAAATTACCAAAAGAAGTTAAAGATGTAAGGGTGCAAACATATTGCCGAGTTGTAACCTATTGTTATGACGTGAAAAGGTCGTAACCCTTGCAGCTAAATCCCGAATGGTCGTATGCTGTACATTATGTCATGTGTCATATGTTGTGCCGTATGCAAACGTAAATGCTGCGTGCTCTACGTTGTGCCATATGCCATACATTATGCCAATATGCTGTATGAAAATAATTAACACAAAATTTTTTTTCAAATGATTTAAAACTTAATTTTTTATTCTTTAAAAAAAAAAATAATCTTGAATTAGAAAATCTAAATCACATCATATATAGAAAAAAACAATCTTTATCTATATTATTATCATCATTTTCTAAAAAATTATTTACTAATAATTCAGGATCATAGTCCAAATTATAAGAATTATCTATATTAGTCTCATTTTCATTTACTTCACTATTATTATTAAAAAAATTAAAACCAATAATGTCTTCAATTATTAAGGTGTTTCTTGTCTGAATTGAATTATCATTTAAATTAACATTATTTAAATAATCATTTTCTGATTCTAAACTCATTAAAGCACCAATTGGTGAATCATTTGCTAAATTTATTAACTCATTGCTAGTTGATGTTTTATCATAGTACAAGAGTTCAGCTTTTATGTTGGTTAAATAGTAAGACTCAATTTTTGAAATATTCTCAAGTCTCTGTATGGCAAGTAAGGCTCTGAATGAATCAATGATTCAATTTTGAACTGATTCAAATATATAATTTGATTTAAACGTATTCAAATTTGGATTGATTTGATTTGATTTGAATAGATTTGAATATATAATTTTATTCAAATGGATTCGAATTCGAATATAGTTTGATTCAATTCGAACTGATTTGAATATATAATTTGAACTGATTTGATTTGATTCAAACTGACTGGTTCGAATCTATAATAGTAACTGATTTGAATCAAATACACTATATATAATAAATGAAAAATCTTTATTTTATTTACAAAAATACTTTTTATTTTATATTTATTTATATAGTATAAATATCGTAAAATTCAAAAAGAAATTTTTACCTGGAGCAATAATTGCATCTTGCCTTTCCATCTATGGTTGTAAAATGATTCCACACAATGCTTCTTGTTCTTCTTGCTGTGTTTGTTGAAGAAATTAAAGAAGTTGAAGAAGCATCAGTAATATTAGTACTTATTATTTGGGGCATACTGCAACAAAACCAGACAAAGTGAACATTGGTATTACCTAAGGTTTCCAGTCCAAACTATTTTCTCAAAGCCCAAACTAGTTTGGGCAATTTTGGCTTCTCAACATTTTTTATAAACATGAACATTAAAAAACTATACCAATCAACTTATTTTAACTTAAACAACTTTAAAGTAAACAAAAAATAGTTTGGGCTTATAAAAAAGTAATTTTTGCCCAAAGTGTTTCGGCAATTTCGACTACTAATAAAGAGAGTTTCGGCCAGAAACCTTACTTGGGATATTTTATTCTTAAAAACTGGTTGATAAATTTTTTTGATGACATAATAATAAGTTAGGGTTAAGGCATTCGACACATGTGAGATGCCCAATTAAATCAAAATTAGGTGATGTAGCATAATGCCGATCAATAAACAACTTTTTTTTTAAAAAAATAATATATACAGTCGACCCCCCTTATAGTCACACCCCTCGGGATGTGACTATAAATGAATGTGCTTATAGAGGGTATAAATATATAGCCACACGTCTTATTAAATACCATCACAGTGTGCTTATATACTATTTTTCAAATAATTTATTTAATAAAAATTTTAACAATATATAGACAAGTACTCAAATTTTTATAATATTATTAGCATTCTTTCTTTTCAAAATATGCAAAAATGCTTTTTTGGATCTTTGGCTCCACGAGTCTAACAATCACTGGTAGCAGTGTGAGTTCTTTTAACAGTTATTTCTGACTTCTGCATTTTTATTTAACTATTGAATTATTATCAATTCTTTTTATAAGTATTAAATTAAATTATAACATGAAACCACTAAACTGAATTCATAAAATAAGTGTTAAATATTGAATTGTAAACACCAATAAGAATAACTTGGAACCAATTCAGTTTACAATAATTAGAATTTTTAAATAAATAAATAATAGATTTTTTTAATTTAATTGTTCATCATTAAATTAACTAACCATTAATAGTAAAGAATAAAGATTACGAATTATTTGAATAAAAATGAAAAACAAAACGAATAGAGCAAATAGGATGAATAAAATGAATTTGTAGATTCGCAGTAACTAAATTTTTTGAATTGTAATTTATGAATTTAATTGGTTGTTCGTGAAAAATAAAATTTGCAATTAATTATTTGCTGGTAACTACCATTGCCGCAAATAACCAATTATGGCAGGTGTCATTATAATGATAGTTTCGGTTATATAATATAAAATAACACATGAGCATCATCATTATTTTTTTTTTGCAAATTTTAAATTTTACAAAATTTAGTGGATTGAAAAGTGATTGTATGGAGGGATTTTTTCTTATCTTTACTAATGTTGTTATACGACTAGGAGTGATAGTGACTATATGGGAGGAGTGAATATATGGGAGGCATTTTGTATATTAAAAAATCCGGGCTCAAACCTTCAGTGACTATAAGGGGAGCTGACTGTATATATAAAAACTATATAAATAAAAATTGTATCAGGGCCCTCAAATAAAGAGATACTGGTATGAAACAAAGGGAAATTATAGTAAATAGGTTAAGCTTTTAGATTATAGAGTTTTTTTTTTGCTAAATAAAAAAAAATTTTTTTTTATATATTCTAAAGAAATTGAAAAAAGATTGCTAATAGGAAAACTTTATAACCAAATGAGGTGGGGAAAAAATCTCTCTGTAACTTTATTATAGAAGACTTAAACAATAAAACTATAAAAAGTTTTGTTTAATTTTATTATAAAAAAAAAAGTTATCATGGTTTAAAGTTATTCTAAATTTTACCATAAAAATTTACATCGTAGCAACTGATAAATTAATAGAAATTTCTTTTTATAATTCATGTTTTCAAAAAAATATATTGTTAGTTGAATTTTGTTGTCAACATTTACAATGCGTTGAAATATATGATAAAGATACTAAAAAAATCCGCACATAATAATTTGTTATATTGATGTATATAACACATATGTTTGATCGCCAAAAGTTTATGTCAAAATTTCTTTTGCGTTTATTGCAAAAATATACTAAATGAATATTTGTGATTTTTGTATCATTTGATAACTTTGGTACTTGTGACTACGAATGTGATTTTTGATTTTTGATTTATGAAATTTTTATTATGCGATATTTTAAAATGTTGATCATTTAAAAAGTTTTTCAAAAAAAATTTTTTTTAATAATTTTAATAACTTGTTGTCCACTCGTTGTTGAAGATGCATTCTTCTATCCTTCTTGGCATACTATCAATTAATCTCAAATATTTTTCACACGGAATTTGTTGCCATTCTTCTCTCAAATAATTTTCTAATTCATCTTTTCTTTCCTGGTATGTTTACCTTTAAAAAGGCTAGTGATTTGAGATCTTTGGGCTACAGTGAGTTCGTGATTTTTACCCATTTTTAAAGAAATTGATCAACATTTCAAGATTTCAATATCAGGTTTTATTTTTATTTTTATTTCATAATGATGACATCATAAATCAAAATCAAAATCAAAATCATATTCGTAATCACAAATACCAGAGCTATCAAAATGATATAAAAAACACAAATATTTATATAGTATATTTTTGTAATAAATGCAAAAGAAATTTTGGATATAAACTTTTGGCGATCAAGTGTATGTTTGATGATCAACAGCCACAACATGTTACGTCATTTGGCAGGTGATGCGTCATTCAACACGATAATTTATTATTATTTATTATTGGCGAAAACCCAATACTTATATCTATTTAAACTAACTTCTAAACGCTGATTTTTCTACAATTTTCAAAAAAATGAATTTATATTTAAAATATGAAATAATTAAATAGACACTGTTACATATTTAAACAACATTCTGTTTCACTTCTGTATCGACACCATTATTATTATTATTTGCTGAAGGAGTGTTACTTTGTTTTTTTCTCCTATTACGACAACATAAATATGATATAAGTAAACCAACCAGCGATGCACATCCTATAAGGGCGCCTTTCACAGCTACGTGAATTCCTTTATCTGCAACATCATTTCCAGTGATTTGTGATTTTACTTTATTAAGAGAAAATATTTATATTAATGAATTTCAAAATAAAACAAAATTAATGAAATTATAATTTCATGAATAAAATAGCTTTACCTATATCTACTAGTAAAAAGAAGATTAAAAGGCATTGCAAAACGTTCATTGATTTCTTTTGTTTAAGTAAAGAATTCATTATTATTATTATTATTTATTATTATCATCAAACCAAAAAATTAAAAGGAAACTAATCTATTTATATGTATGTTTATATATGATGATAACTGTTCAAACTATTGGTAAACTTTTCGTTGTCTCCCCTATCTGAACTGGTACATACCAAAATTAATTATCCTCCTTTATTTATCGACTTTATTTAATTATTTGAAACACTTCAGGAAAATTATATAAATGAATTAATGAAATTGGTAAATAAATTAAAATCATTTATTATTTTATTTTATTTTTTTACGCATGAAATGTGAATTTGTTCTAATTAATAATGAGAGTTCAGTTGTCGGGTTTGCCGGTGTAACATTATTATTATTATTACTCTATCAAATTTGGGTAACACGAAATTTTTTAATTCGAAAATAATGTGTAAATAAATAGTTTTAAGAAGGATGAGGGAGACCTTTATGGCATAGGAATATAGGTCTATGTGTTAATGTATGATTGTTTATTCCATTAAATTACAAGCGCGATATAATTTTATAACAGCAGAAACGAGTGAATTCTTTAAATTTTATCCTCTAGAAGAAAGGTAAGGCTCATTTGATGACGATCAGTGAAAATAATCGAATGAACGTTCAATATTAATATAATTGTCACTGTATAACACTCCAAAAGGACTGATTGTTATTGATGCTTAATGTTTAAAAAAAGGCAAATTAAATTTTTTTAGAAAAAGTTGCATTTTGATATTAACAAATTGAGAAATTTTATTCCGTTTGTATGCATTTGAATTTTCACGATTGTTTGTCGAATATTCACAGAAAATTTATACAAAAATGTAAAAATAATAAAAATAATTTTCATCCACAATTTACATGACAATTTACATAATAAATCTTTATTAAATTTACATCAAAAGAGTCAAAAAATATAAATATTTCTTTCATTTATTCAATATTTTGCAGGGTTTCCTTTTGAATCAATTACAGCTTGGACCCTTTGTGACATGCTGTCTACTAATTTTTTTCAAATAATCAGGATCAAGATCAGCCCACTCATCCATTAAAAATGATTACAAAAATTTAAATGTATACATTTGAGATAAACGGAATAACATTTCCTAATACTAATACTACGTGCGACTTTTTCTTATTAATGCAACAACATCGATTTACTTAGTAAGCAAATGACTATTTATATTTAAATTAAACGTTTATTCGATTATTTATTTCACTGATTATCACGCGAGTCTTACTTTTTTTAGAGGTGTGTAAATTTGATAAGAAAGTTTGATTTGCCTAAACAAATTACGCTGATATACTTTATTTTTGGGAAAAGGAAGCTTCAACTAAATTCTTGCATGTATTTCTCTAACCCAACATTTAACCAATTATAAAAAATGTACAAGTTTTATTTAAACAGTTTGAAGTTAATCACGAATAGTTGGAACAATTCAACTTTTACAAATTCTCTACATTCCCAAGAGTATCCTTTTTTTTCCAAATATTCTTTAAAAAAAGAAATACAAAATATATTTATTTATCTATACCATTTTTTTCATTTTTGTGATGCTGATCCTTGTTCATAGACAGTTAATTGAATTAAGTTAAGCATGACTTAATTGGTTAAAAAGTATTTATTATTTATTGGGCCAAGATTCATGGGAAAAGAAAAATCAACATGGCATGTTGATTTTCTATTTTCGAGAGATGCTAAATTGCAAAGTGTTCACAGATCAATGGATGGATTGTTCTTGTCATAAACTTTTCTACACCTGGTAACCTTCCGTTTTTTTTTCTTGCTGATCTTTTAACCTGTACTTGGTTTTCTCTGCTATCTTCTTGAAACCAACGTGAATTTAATAATTATTTACAAGAAGAATTTTTTTTTTGTCATTGTTATACTAAGATAAAATCGTTATACATATTTTAAGAACTATCTATTCCTTTTTCGATCAATTAATGTGGAGATCTTAGGAAACAATAAATTTACTTTTTCGATTAATTAATATGAGAGGGATCTTTAGCAGATAACAAACCATTGCTTTTTTGATCAATTAATGAGAAAGATTTTAACAAATAAAGAACTATTGCTTTTAGAAAAAAAAAAACATCTTAATCGGGGACATTCAAAAAAGTTTCTTTTTTGGTATGTTAACATTTATGTGGCTCTTTATTAATTTCTGACCTATTTTGTTATAAATACACTGCCTGGAAGAAAGTATCGGAACCTCATTTTTTATCAATTACACAAAAACCTACATAATAACTATAAATAAAATTTATATAATCATGTAGCTTAGGTCTTGGAGAATATTTATATAAAATCCCACGCTTCTACCATTCATATTTATTTTTTGGTTTTTAAAAAAAAAAATAATAATGACGGTCATCAAATTTTAAAAAATAGAAATAAAAGTTAGTATTTTGTTGGCTATCCATTATTGGATATGCATGCCTCGATTCTTCTTGGCATGCTTTCGATTAATTTGTTATAAACTTCTTCAGGAATGTTAGACCATTCCTCTTGCAAGGCAATCTCCAATTCTTGAACATTTTGGGATAATTTTCACGTTATTTTAATCTTCTTTCCAACTCATCCCAAAGACGCTCAATTGGATTGAGACCAGGAGATTACGATGGCCAATTAGACAAAATGTTTATGTTGTTATTACTTATCCAATTTTGCACATTTTTTGCAGTATGCACTGGTGCATTGTCATCCTGAAATTTGTATTCTCTACCACCAAATTTTGTTCTTATTAAAAGGCAACAAATTTCTTAATCAATTTTTTATCACTGTTTGATTATTTTTAATAACAAACTCTTTGCTAATAAAATTTCGACCAATCATTCTTTAGAACTTAAACTACAAAATAACAGTTCTAATTTTATGTAAAGTTTTGCGAAAATACTAATTCAAAAAATATCCAAAAATGAAAATCGCGAATTTGATTGAAGTTTGTTTTTTTTTTAACCAACAAATAATTATGAAAGATAGAAACGTGGGATTTTATATAAATATTTCCAAGACCTAAGCTACATGATTATATAAATTTTATTTATAGTTATCATGTAGGTTTTTGTGTAATTAATAAAAAAACGAGGCTCCAATACTTTCTTCCAGGCAGTGTATGTTTAAATAATTAAGTCACCATTAAATGTTTAAATTTATAAAAATAAATTAGTTTAAGAAATGCCTTCTAAATTCGAGTAATAAAAATGAGTATAAAATGAAGGAATGTTAATTGATCAAATTCATAATATTCTTCGTAAAAAAAAAAAAAAAACATGCCATCCATTTTTTTTATCTACGTGCTTCATTAAGACCATCTCCCCCACTGACAGTTTAATTAGTGGAAACGCCCTATATAAAACAAGCCCAACCGCGTCGTTAAATGTCGATGAGAACATATTTGCTGAATGACAAATATACGTTGCAATGAGCCGAGCTCCTTCGCTAAAAAACTTGCATATTCTCGGTTTTTGACTATGCTCAATTAAAGGTCTCTGAAGCAACGTTAGAAGAATATAAAATATTGAAAAAGGTTAAATGCAGTAAAAAAAAATAATTTATCATGTTGTGGAACAAATCAATCTTTTCTACTTGCCGCTGCATTTTGTAATTTTTTTTTGCAATCAATATATAAATATATATTAATATTAATATTTAGTTAATTGACGTTTACTGCTCGTGCTCTGCGAAGAAAAACAATCCTCAACATTTCAAGATTTCAATATCAGGTTTTATTTTTATTTTTATTTCATAATGATGACATCATAAATCAAAATCAAAATCAAAATCATATTCGTAATCACAAATACCAGAGATATCAAATGATATAAAAATCACAAATATTTATATAGTATATTTTTGTAATAAATGCAAAAGAAATTTCTGATATAAACTTTTGGTGATCAAGTGTGTATATACAGTTTTATATAAATCAAAATTCACTCATTGTTTATATGAATGCCCATTCCTTCTGGTACAAATTCTTCGAAATATTCGAATCATTTTCTTATTATTATTCGAATTACTTGATTTATTCGAATCATTTGATTTATTCGAATCACTTGATTTATTCATTTTATTCGAATTACCTGATTTATTCGAATCATTTGTTTTATTTGAATTACTCGATTTATTCATTTTATCTATTTTATTAATTACTTAATTCTTTCATTTATTATTATTCATTTATTCGTTTATTCGTTTATTCGTTTATTCGCTTTATACATTTAATTGTTTCATTCGAGTCATTCGTTCCATTCGTTTCATTTTGTTTTTTCGGATAGAAACCCTAAGTCTGGACCGCGGTCTCGGACTGGTCCAACGGTCCAGTCCTTTAATTAGACGACGGTCTTTGGACCATACCGGACCGTTAACAACCCTATTTGCAAATAAGAAAACAGGCAAAATCTAATATTTTCTCATCTCCAAATTTAATTGGATGTTTTGTGTTACTAAATAATAGCTAAATAAATAAACTTATTATTAACAATAATTCTTGAATGCATTCATTGGATATGAAAACGCAACATAAATTGATCATTAATATTTTTACCAGTTACCAAGTTTTGGGAAAATTCATTTTCGCATTTCTTTTCAAAATCTGCAGCCGCAGGATGTTCATCAAACTTGAATTGCATGTCAATTTTTCCATCCTATCAGAAGTATATACAGTACCTAGACAAAAGAATCGGAATGCATGTTTTTGTTAATTACGTAAAAACATACATATCAACAACATAT